CGAAGTTCGGGAAGTTAATTGTGTAACTATGTGGTATGTCAGTTGTAGGTGTCGACTTCAGTGACCAGACAAATGGAAAGTTGCTGGCCCGCAAAAAAAGGTCACACAAGAAGAGTTAAGTTTAAAATCTTTTAGTTGCACATAAAGCCTTCAGCTTCTCCCGTTTCTGAGTTAGCAGTTTTTCCATTAAAATTTTCACGTGTCCGTACATGAGTACTGGACGGTTTTAAGGAGCTAAATTTATAATTTTTGGTCATACATGAGTAGGGAACATTACCCTAAAGTTTCAGCTTTCTAGCTTTTCCCGTTCCTGGATTAGTAATTTTCGCGCCAAAATTTCCACGCGCGCGTACTTGGGTTCGGGCGCTTCCAAACACCTGATTTTGCTCGTACATGAGTGGGGAACATTCCCTAAAAATTTCAGCTTTCTAGCTTTTCCCGTTCCCTGGTTAGTAATTTTCGCGCCAAAATTTCCATGCGCTTATATGTGGGCTCGGGTGCTTCTAAACACCTGATTATACTCGTACATAGGAAACATCCCTTAAAGTTTCAGCTTTCTAGCTTTTCCCGTTCTCAGGTTGTGGATTTTCGCGCCAAAATTTACACGCGCCCGTACGTGACCCCCTGACGGTCCTAAGAAGCTGAATTTGGAAACTTTCGGTCGTGCATTAGTTTGGAACATTCCCGCAAAGTTTCAACTTCTCAGCTTTTCTCATTCTCGAGCTACGAGTTTTCCCGCAAAAATTTTCGCGTGCCCGAACATAAGTCCCGGGCAGTCCTGGGCACTGAATTTGAAATCTTTTTGTCATACATGGGCAGGGATCGTTCTCCCAAGTTTTCATCAATCTTTTCTCGTTCCCGAGTTAGCGATTTTCGAGCCAAAACTTTCACGTGCTCGTACACGGGGCCCAGACGTACGTGAGGGTTGAAACTGCGGTCCTGGGATGGTACCTGGCTGGGGAACACACTAGCAAAATTTCAGCTTCAAAGCTTGCATGGTTAGCGAGTTGAAATCCCGGACACACACACACACACAAACATACACAT